ACCAGAAAGATGTTTACTTGTGTTTTATTGACTATACAAAAGCATTTGATTGTGTGGATCATAACAAATTGTGGATAACATTGAGAAGAATGGGAATTCCATAACACTTGATTGTACTCACAAGGAACCTGTACGTAGACCAGGAGGCTGTCGTTTGAACAAAACAAGGGAAACTGCATGGCTTAAAATCAAGAAGGGAGTGTGTCAGGGTTGTATCCTTTTGCCATATTTATTCAATCTGTATGCTGAGCATATAATCCGAGAAGCTGGACTATATGAAGAAGAATATGGCATCAGGATTGCAGGAAGAATCATTAACAACCTGCGATATGCTGACGACACAACTTTGCTTGCTGAAAGTGAGGATGACTTGAAGTACTTACTGATGAAGATTGAAGAATACAATCTGCAGTATGGATTGTATCTCAATATAAAGAAAATAAAAATCCTCACAACTGGTCCTATAAGCAACATTATGATAAATGGAGGAAAGATAGAAATAGTCAGACTTCACATTACTTGGTTCTACAATCGACACCAATGGAAGCAGCAGTCAGGACATCAGACAACATATAACACTGGGCAAAATGGCTGCAAAGGACCTCTTTCAAGTGCTGAAGAGCAAAGATGTCTCCTTGAGGACTAAGGTGCACCTGACACACGCCATGGTATTTTCAATTGCCTCATATGCATGTAAGAGCTGGACAATGAATTAGGAAGACCAAAGAAGAATTGATGCTTTTGAGCTATGGTGTTGGCAAAGAATGCTCAAAGTACTGTGGACTGCTAAAAGAACAGACAGGTCTGTCCTGGAGGAAGAGAAGCCAGAATGCTCCTTGGAAGTGAGAATGGCCAGACTTTGTCTCACATACTTTGGTCATGTTGTCAGAAGGGACCATTCCCTGGAGAAGGATGTCATACTTGGTAAGGTAGAGGGAACAGAAGAGGGGAAGGCCCTCAATGAGATGGACTGACATGGTGGCAGTGGCGATGGGCTCAAGTATAGCAAGAATCATGGAGTTGGCTCAGGACTGGGCGGTGCTTCATTCTGCTGTGCATAGTGTTGCTATGAGTCAGAGATGACTCGACGGCACCTAACAACAACAACAAATCTTTGACTTATCTAAGGTCACAAAGATTTCCTGTTTTCTACTGAAAAACCAAACTTACTGCCATCGAGTCGATTCTGACTCATGGTGACCCCCACTAGCTTTCCAAGGCAGTAAATCTTTACAGATTGCCCCCATCTTCATTCTGCGGAGCTGCTGGTGGGTTTGAACACCCAATCTTCTGGTTATTAGTCAAATGCCTTAGGGACTGCACCACCAGAACTCCTTAACAGTTTTACATATAACTTTTTGATTTATAATTAACATTTAGTTTTTTTGGATAAGGGGTGAAATAAGGGTTAAAAACCAAACCAAACTCACTGCTGTCAAGTCGGCTCTGACTCATAGCGACCCCTCTTTGGGTTTCTAAGGCAGTATCTCTGTGATAGATTGCCCAATCTTCCTTCTGAGAAATAAGGGTTAATGTTTGGTTTTTCCATATAAACATCCAGCTGTGTCAGCAGCATTTGTTGAAAAGATTAGTAATGAGTGTATGTTGGTAAATTCAATTGCTTTTGTTCCTACACTCGCAGGTCCTGTAATTTTATTTTGCAACGCCTTTGTCAAGTTCTTAAGGAGCTCTGGTGATACAGTGGTTAAAGCATTTAGCTGCCAACCAAAAAGTCAGCTCTGAATGCACCAGCTGCTCTGCGGGAGATGAGGGTCTGCTTCTGTAAAGACTGACAGCCTTTAAAACCTTATGGGCAGTTCCACTCTGTCCACTGGAGGCCTGTGAATTGGCAGTGGATTCAGTTTGGTTTTGGTGGTGTTGAGTTTTAGTATCAGGGTAATAGTGGCCTAAAACAAGTTGGGAAGTATTTGCTCCCCTTTTCAGATTTTAAAGATTGCATTCTTTCTTGGATGGCAAAATCTACAGATGAAACCACATGGGTAGAGTGTTCTTTGTGGGATTAATAAACGTGGGGTAATTCATATTTTGTCAAATATATCACCATAAAATATTATTAAGTCTAGGTAAGATCGATAGTGACTTCAGTAATTTATAATCTGTCTGGTTTACCTGACTGGTCCAGTCTGGGCTCTACCAATTTTATCTTTTCAAAGATCCAGCTTTTGGTTTCCTTGACTTTCTTCATGCTTTTGTTTTATACATTGTTGATTTCTAACTTTTCATTATTTTTATCTTTCTACCCACTGTGAGTTTAATTTGTTCTTCTGTATCTAGAAAAGAGATTAAGGTAGAACCTTAGGCCAGTCATTTGTACCATTTTTGTTGTCTAATAAGCATTTAATAAATCTATCAATTTCTAACAATTTTTTTAAAATTTAAATACAAGAAGTATGAACCCTGATCCTCACGGAATTAAACTAGAAATTAACACACATACCGAAAAAACCTAAGTAGCTGAAAATTAAAAAACACAATCCAAAAAAAAACCCTTGGGTCAAAGAAGAAATGTCACAGTAAATTACAAAATACATTAAACTGAAAACAAAATTAAAAGTCAACATATCAAATCTGTGGGATGAGGCTAAAAGAGTACTCAAGAGGGAAATGTATAGCATCACATGCTTATCGGAACAAAATAAAGTCTCAAATCAATAATCTAAGTTTCTACCATAAGCAACCAGAAAATGGCAAAATGACTCCAAAGCAAGGAAAGGAAAATAATAAAGTACAGAAATCAATGAAACTGAAAACAACCAACCAACCAGTGAAGTCAATGAAACAAAAAGCGGGTTATTTAAAAAGATCAATAAAATCAATGAATTTCTAGCAAGACTGACAAAATATTTCTTCCTGAAGATAATTTTCACATTGTGCTTGCTACTTATAAGCTCATCCATGCACATTTCTTAAATTTGTTTTGTACAATAAATACAACTGTTAAAGGTGTCAGAGACAGTAAATCACATTCTGGAGTTCAACTGCCATGATTAGCACCTTGGCTGTGCCACTCACAAACTGTACTACCAGTGTGGATGCATCTCTTCACTTGTCTACTTAACCCAGTTTCCTCAATAAAATACTGCTGATAATAACAGTAATGACACTTCATAGGGTCATTATAAGATTCAATGGAAAATACCTGTAAATAAGAACAGTGTCTGATGTGTGGAGAGAGCAATATACGTTAGTCATGTTATTGTAGATGTGTGAAAAAAACATCCCCTGTCTTCCACCTAATCAAAGGACAACAACATTACTCACAAAACTTTAATTTATATTTGAGAATTTTCATCAGAGGAAGATGACATATAAAGACAAAAATTGGGAAAGTACACAAACAAAGTCTGTAGCAGAGGAATGTAAATTAGCACACTTGGGAAAATGTTCAACCCACTAGTTATTTTTAAAATGCTGATTAAGATGGCAATGAAGTACCATTTAATAACTAGTATAACAGAAAAAATAAAAATAACAGCCAGTGCTGTCAAGCTTGTGGTTATACTGTACCCTATACTTTATTAGTGACGGAGTGAATTGATACAAGTCTTTCAAAAAATAATTTGCAATAAATTCAAAAGGAAACAAAAACTTTCACATTTTTCCATTATCTGTGAGACTGCATTACTTATAACTATAATTACAACTTTGCTGCTCTTCCTACAGCAGACAAAAGCAATCCAAGATTTAGCACTTTCCAAAGTGTCCCATGGCAGTTACCTGGGTGTCATCTGACATCTTTATATACATATAGAGAATGAATGGTAAGAAGCGACAGGCCCCAGGCCAGGAAGAATGAGCATTCATCAGGGTCAGGATAACAACAGCACCAAGTGACTAAGTCTCAGGGACCAAGAAGGGCAGTGGGTAAAATAACATACCAAGACCAGCCACGTCAGAGCTTTCAGGATTCAGAGCTGCAGACACTATTCCGGTGACGTTTCTTGAGACTCTAAGAATTACACATCATATTCTTATGCGGTCTAGGCTCTGTTTTCTAGATCTTAAGAGAATTTTACCCCTTTGAACTGGAAAGTAGCAGAAAATACTAAAAATGATAATAATAAACGTTTGAAATCTTTTGGTAGAAATAATGGGATCTATTTTTGGATTTATACACATATAACACTAAAGGAAACAAAGATAAGATTGGATTTAGTCTGCTGGCTCCTAATTTCTCATTTACCAATAGATTGTTTTGGTTGAGTATATAAAAGGGCTGACAAAAATCTACTTTAAAAGTATCTGGAGACGTCATATTATCCTGCAGTAGAGCAGCACATAACACACTTTCTCTCAAGTTTTTCTTAAAATACTCGTATGGATAATTAATAGTAGTAATAGTAATTAAAGAAAAAAAACCTTATTAAGCATACAGACATGATATCCAAACGTAATTAAAATGAGCAGAATCGTTCAAGATCTGCTGCCCAGGCTGAGTCTAACCAGGAACCTGGCACTGCGTCCTCAGGAACTACTAACCTCAACTAGCTCAGTGCTGGAATCGCTTTCTTTGTGTTCTCTTTGTTGGTCCAGCTACTACGTGCTATGAATTCCTGCTGACCTGAGGGACTTTATTAGCAATAGAAAACATTAATATTGCCTTCGGAGTTAAATCAATTAAAAGCTGACAATCAGTTACATTCATCCTATAATTTCATTTCATCTGGTTCTTTGTATTCTTGCTTTTCCATGCAGGATTCACCACCAATCGAGTATCTCAGGCTAATATGGAAAAAACTTACATATTTAATGATACACATAAAATCACAACCACAGTAATTGGACCACAGTTATGCTAAATACGAAGAATCCAGGCTCACTCATAAGTGACTGTAAAAAAGAAGAGAATATGGACCTTAAAGAAACAGGGTAAGTGACCAAATAACATTCAATTTTCCTATTGACAAAATTAGATAAATTCCAAGTTTTTAAAATATTGTGTTTAAAAACAGGTCAAACTGAGAGAGTAAATCTGTACTTCAAACTTCCACATGGGATCATTTGGGTCCTTTTGTTTTGGATTTTGTTTCTTTTGAAATCTTTCCATTTTGACATTGAGTAAATCTGGATACTGTAGAAACGCCATCCATAAACTTGGTTTTGAAAAGGACATTTGCATTGTTGAACATACCTTCTTTCAGGGATACTACAATGAACTAAGGAACAAAGACAAAAAAAGCATGACAAAATACTTTTTGTAGTATCTTTCAAGAGGTTTACTCCTTTTTTTACACTGGGGTGTTAAGAATGTTCAGGAACTATTTTGGTTTTATCTTTCTTTACATGCTTGACTCCAAGCAACTGCACTTTCTCAAATGAAAGTAACAAATAGCAGCTACTAAATCACGGGACCCCCTCCCCCCTAAATTTGCTCCATAGCTGTTTCATTGGCTAATTCTTGGAAGCAGAGCACTAGGCCAGGGTGCACTTGAACCTCCAAGCTTTGTTAGCAGCTGAGCAGGGAAACCATTCACACTTCCCAATGACACCAGGTATGGTATCAGGCACCTAAACGAACCCTACCTTTCCCTAAACGAACCCTACCTTTCCCTACTCGGTCCTGAGATTCTCTTCCTTTCATCGTGAGTGCTTCATTACCCAAGTTTACTACTGTCTGGTGGCTGACCACTTACTGCATCTTCCACAGCTGGCATTCAGTGTTTTGTTGCTAGCTCTAACTGCCAAAGTGAAACCCTTTTCTTTAAGTTTCTGCAGCACTAACACCGGTCCAAATGGAACGGCTGTATGATTAAGAAAAGAGTCCCTCCCTCTGTATGATTAAGAAAAGGTGCTGCTTTACAACTGTCTGCCCAAGAACTGCCACAATAAATACACAATCTTTGATAATTACAATAAACAAAGACCCCAGAACAGTGTACTGCATATTTGATACAAACATATTTGGCAGCCCCAACTCCTGCAGCAACAGTGCAATCAAAACAACCTGTCCTTAGTTGTGGAGCTTTTCTGCACTTTGAAGTGGGCATCAACCAGACTTTCCTTATGCACCACATGACTTTCTGACAATCTAGGTCTATCGCTGAAACAGTCCTGTATTTATTATGCATCTTTCTCGCAGCTGGCTAAAGAAAAGAACTGCATTAACTGAAAATCAATTCCAAATTACGACAAAATTGGATTCTCCCTCATGTTATGATCAACGATTTCAATGCTTGGTTCTTTCTTCAAAAGGAAACCAAACTCTCTTTCCTTTTTCTATTTGAACATAAGTACATATTTAATAGAAATATAATAGCTTTAGTGTTCCTCAATCCTAAATACCACTAAACAATAGTTTTAGACAAAACAAATACCATAAACTACCGAGACACACTTCCTGGTTCCTACCTGAGAGTGTGTGAAATGAGTACGAAGCATCTGACCAATATTCTGGGTATGAGAAAGATCCAAGGCTGCATCCACCTCATCCAGGATATAAATTGGAGCAGGTTTGAAGAGCAGCATGGACAGTATTAACGATAAGGCCACTAAAGACCTAAGAAAAAAGGCCAGTGGAAGAAAAGCCATTTTTACCATAACAATGAAGTAATTTTGTCATTTTGTTACTATTGTGAATAATGCATACTTATCTGACAGTCAGAAAAAGAGCCATAAGATCCAAAGTTAAACACTTCTTTCGTTGTATTAATGTTTAACTTTCCATTTTCTCTCTCTTCAAAAAGTTGTATTTTGAATAAAACAGGTTTATATTCTTCTTTCCATTCACATGAGGAAACCTTAATCTTACATCCATTACAAAAAACTTCTTCAATTTTGTCTCACTAGATTGTTCTTCAATCTTAAAATCTTTGAAACATCAGTAATGTTGAAGATAAAACTTTAAATCTCTCAGAAGCATGTTATTTTCATAAGACAATTTTAATTTTGCTATATTCTCTTCCACACTTGCCCACAGAAGAGTATTTTAGTTTTAATAGCATTAATTTTATTTTTTTCTTTTCCTCCCTCAATTGCTTCTTAGATGCCCAGGGTAAACAGTTCTTTATTAAGACAATAAATACCATTGTCTTGGTAATAGTATACTTGGTCCAGGTGTACTCTTTCAAACTTTTAGTATGCATGTACACACACACACATACACAATATATATATTTGTGCACTGTTTGAGAGAAAGTTGCATAGATTGACCTGTTACTTCAGAATGTCAGAAGTTCAAATAATCACCTAAAATTTGTAGATATTCCCACTATAAGATTTCACAGCTATTTTCAGTTCTATCTCAATGCTCCTTTAATTGCAGCTCTTTTTTCATTTTAATTTGAAATGAGTCATAATACTTAAGAAATAGTATTTCACAAAGCCTTTAATTTCATACAAAATATTTATAATTACTAAATATTAGGGAACAATTACAACATTCGCAACATACATACTTTATAACTTCAAATACCTTCTGGTATGCAACACTAGAATAGCTACTTTAATGCATATAGCGTTCCAAAAGGGTATTAAGAAATACATAAACATAAGCAATAAAGAAATGTGTACACATGTGGAAGGGTACAGGAAAGCGAAACCAAGATTTCTAGCAAAGGAAATGAGTGGAACAATGCAATAAACAGTGAAGCACAGAGAGTCTGACACTTACCTCTACAGAGGGGAGCTGAGGTTATTCAAAACAATTTTCCATGGCCTCTTCTAAGCCAAGTGTCTAAGGCACTGAGATTTAAACTTTAAGAAAATATTTCACCAAGAGTTAAACTGCTGGTATATAAGTAATTTTTATCATCTTCTTTATGGAAATAAAGTATGTTGTTGTTGTAAGGTGCCATCAAATCGGATCCAAATGACAGCAACCCTATATGCACCAGAATGAAACATTACCAGGTCCTGTACCATCTCCACAACTATTGCCATGCTTGAGCCCATAGTTGCAGCCACCACATCAATCCATCTCATTGACAGCCTCCCTCTTCCTTGCTGACCCTCTCCTGTGATAAGCAAGATATCCTTTCTTCAGGGACTGGTCCCTCCTGATAACACAACCAAAGTATGAGGGGCAAAGTCTGGCCATTCTTGCTTCTAAGGAGCATTCCAGCTGTACTTGGTTCCATGACACATCAGTTTGTTCTTCTGGCAGCCCATGGTATCTTCATTATTCTTTGCCAACATCATGGTTTAAATGCTTCAATTCTTCAGTATTCCTTATTCACTGTCCAGCTTTCACATGCCTATGAGGCAACTGAAAATATCATGGCTTGGGTCAAGAGCACCTTAGTCTGCAAAGTGACATCATTGTTCTTTAACACCTTAAAGAGGTCTTTTGCAGTCAAAGACAGACATTTTTTGGAAATAACATATAAATTTCAATAAAAAGAGAAGCATATTTTTTCTAGTTTCCTTAAAACAATTTCTAGGACCTTGGCAAAAAATAGTTAAAGATACAAGGGTCTAAATCGTGGGATTTAATTTTAGTTAGTATTTCTGTAAGGTAGCAGCTGTCTTGAGACTCTTAAAATATTTAGGAATTTTATTAATCATGAAAAAATACAGAATAGGCTGCTTGTCCTCATAAAAAAATGACAAAGGATTTCATGAGGAAATTAATAAGTCTTGTATCCTCTACATAATAGTGGAGGAGTTGCATGAGGGTATTATAATAGTGCATGTAAGAGTAATTCAAGAACTATTGATTATCATCCTGGAAGAGAAAAAAAAATCAACACTAAATTAATAACCACCTTCATTATGTCAATGTTTATAATTTTCTCTCAGGAATCTTTCATTACTTGGCTGTCTGCACACAGAAGCTTCAGCAATACAACCAAAGTTTCTATCGGGATGCAGTTTCTTTGGGATTGATGTGTAATATGTCAAGGCTAAATGCTGCACCATGCCATCTCTAGCAGTCTTCATCCTTTATGTAGATCCAAGTTTCCATCTGCTGTCATTTTCATCTGAAGAACTTCCTTTATCCTGTAGTATAGTTCTGCTGGGATCAAATTATTTCAGCTTTTGTTTGTCTGAAAAGTACTCATATTGCTTTCCTTTTGAAGAGTATTTCTGTTAAAGAGCTCTAGGTTGACAACATTTTCTTTCAGCATTTAGTGGATATCATTCCAGACTTTTGGCTTGCATAGTTTTTTGATGAGAAGTCTGAGGTCATTTTAATTTTTGTTCTGCATGTAACATCTACTTTTCCTCTTGTTGCTTTTAAGATTTTCTCCTAATCACCGATTTTTAGCAATTACATAAAATGCCTTGTGTTATTGTGTATGTGTTTGTTTATCCTGCTTGGAGTGCACAGAACTCTTATGTCTGTGGCTGACAGCCCTCATCAAATCTGGAAATTCTGGGACCATTATTTCTTCAGGTAGTTTTCTGTACTATCTGGTCTTCTTCTGTAACTCCAGTTACATGCATGTTAGATTGCTTGATGTTGTTCCAGAGGCCACAGAATCTGTTCATTTTTTTGTCTTAGTTTAGCTTGAATAGATTCTACAACTGTTTTCAAGTTAACTCATCTTTCTTTGGCAGTATCTCATGTACTATTAATCTGATGCAGTGAAATTTTCATTTCAGGTATATTTTTTTATCTCTAGAAGTTCCATTTGATTATTTTTTAACAGGCTTCATTTCTCTTCATTATGTTCATGTTTTCTATTTAATACTTGAAATTAGTAAATGTAACTCTTTAACATCTTGTTTGTTAATTCCATTACCTGTCATTTCTGGGTCTGTTTCTATTGACCGATTTTTCCCTCTGGTTTTAAGTCACATTCTTGATTTTTTTATCTGGTAACTTTTATTAGATGCTGGAGACTGTGATTATGTTATTGTGTTAGTCTTTTAGTTGACAATTACATGCAGATCATCTTGATCCCTTCAAGGCTAATTAAGTTGGCTAGGATGTATCCAGAATTGCCTTTACTTCAGGAATAGTGCAGATTTAATGCTAAGGTGTAACTCTCCTGAGCCTCTCAAAATTCTAATCTCTGGCTCTTTAATTTAGCAACACTACTGGGTTCTGTCTCAGCAGTTCGGAAACTGTCCCCAAGCAAAAAGTCCAGATGAACACAAGGCTTATTACCTTCACTTCCTCTCTTAGGTCTCACTGTCCAGGATACTCATTTTCCAATGTCTGAGAACAGCTGTTTTTCATATATTTTGTCTAGTTTTTTAGTTGCTTACTCTTGTTCCTTTCTTGCCTACTATTTTAATCATTTAAAATAATTTAATTATAATGTTCCTACCAAAATGTATTACTCTCCTCAAACTCTATATGCAAAGATAGTTAAGCACAATAAAATCGGGAGGTAACGAGATCATGGCTTAACAAGATGAATAAGATTTATAATGTTGGAAAGAAATCACTCACCTCTGTCCACCACTAAGTTCAGTTAAGTTTTCTTTCCAGGTATTTCCTAAGGCAACCTTGAACTCTAGACCATCCAAAACAGTTTGTCCCTCTGGTGGTGCAAGCATAGCATTAGCGCCAGGCAGAAGAGTAGAAAAAATAGACCCAAAGTCCTTGTTTACCTGGATTAAAGACATTAAAACATCACAAACTCTTCCAAGAAGCATCAAACGTTGAGAACTGTACTTGCTCTCAGCAGTTGCATTTTGTTGTCTCTCATAGTACTCTAACTCAGGGGATGGCAAATAGCCAATTATGTCCATGGGACAAACCTGGCCATTCCCATTCATTTACATATTGTCTGTGGCTACAAGCACTACAACAGCTCAATTGGGTAACTGACAGATATCCCAGAGAATAAACGGTAATATTTTGGGGTTCAAATACCTTTTGCCAAGCAATATTTAGGGCTTGGTTTTTCTTCTGGTCAAGGTCTTCTATAGTTGCAAGGATTTTGGATTTGTCATTTTCTACAATTCTCTTCTTCTTCATCAAGTCATTATACTATTAAGGGAAAAAAGCTTACTTAATAAAATTTTCTTTACATTCTAGAATTCAGTCAGAAACAAAATTTCATTATTTTTATAAATAATATATATCTTTATTTACAAAAAAGATATACAGCCCTAAGAATCAGAATGCAATCCAAAATTATGAGCAAAAAGGAAGATCATGTATCTGTATATATTAAATTCAGTTACTACAGTTGAGAATAAGGCAAGCCCTTTAGATATTGATACTAACATTTGCTTATCTTCCTAGCAGCCAAAGCAAAAAGGACAATGTTTCATTTAGACACCCATATAAAAGTAGCCCTGCTATCTCCTGAAGTCTTAGCAATGACACATGAAAAAAATTCCAATTCTTTACCATGATGGACAAAGCCTTACATAATTTGATGCTCACTTACCTCTATCTTTTTAGATTCCGCCCATGCTCCTGCCATATGGTCTTTTTTCTGTTCCTTGACTACAGTAGGCTCATTCTATTATGAACCTGTTTTGCCCTGCTCTCTCTTCCTGCAGTTTTCCTCCTCTTTGTCTCATTTGACTGGTGCTTCATTACTCAAGTCTTAGCCTAAACATCACTTGTTCAGAATGGACATCTGTTTAATATAGAAATTAAAACGGAAAAACTTTCTAAGGGAGACTACAGGGGGACAGCTATACCATGAAAAGCAGTGGAACTTTCCAGAAATCTTCTTAACCCATTATTCTTCAAAGCCTCATATTTCAAGGAGGTTTTATATTTTTCCCTTAAAAACTCCTGCCAGTTCTTCCTTGCTGATCCTCTGCTTCATGGACAAAGTCCCCAAACCTCCTCCCCATGTTTGTTTTTTAAAAATGTTATTTCTTGTGTAACTCAAATGTAGTTTCTTAGGTGGACAGACATGAATAACACAACAAAAACAAAAGGTCATTTGCTAATCAACAATAGATTCTTTGTCTCTGTAAAATAAGCAAAGCTGGTAAACTGTTGAAAAATATTAGACTCTGTTATCATTATCTAATAAAAGTAAAAGCAAATAAATTTCATGATGCCATGCATCTCAAATTCAGACCAAAGGCTTTCTCCCATAAATATGCCATACATTTCAGCTTTAATATAGAAACAAAACCAGGAACAGCATTGAGAGAGACCACAACCCCCTCCATTATTGCCTGTCTGGTACCTAACAGAATTGAGATTTTTTATAGAGAGATACTATTATCAATGACAGTTAAAAAACAAACAAAAAAAAATTAAGACAAAATTTCTGAAAAGCAATTGAGCTTGTAAGTACTATCATTTTTGCAGCCATCTCATTAGCTCAATCCTAATATGCAAATTCAAACAGAATTCTGCAGGATTAAAGATGTATGAGGCATACTATTGCAGAATTAAATGTATTGGGTATAATATAAAATTACTAAGGCTGCTATTTCCTATGGGGCCCTCAAGGGTAGGGACTGCTCTCTTCTCTGGGTTTTTCTAATAACACAGCCTCTAAAATTCATCATTAGATGACATTAAAATTTTCTTCTTAGACTATGAGAATTTTGTCAGGGGAGATGGGTAACAGTATTGAGTAAGTGAGAACATTAAAATGGAAAAGATGCTGCTAGTTTACAGATTAGTGGAACACTGATTACTTATAAAATAGTTCAGTAGTTACTTATATAATGGTTCTACTATTCACTAGTCAAAAGGAAAACAACAGTTATGAAGTGACTGCTAAGGGGGCCGAGAGCAGCATAGTTTACTTTTCAAGGCCTTTCAATGCAAGTAAAGGAAATGATAGAAATGTGAGGAATGAACAGGATCAAAGTGGTGATGCTTTTTATATGAACCAAGAGTGAGTAGAACGTGCTTATGATGAAGTGAACATGCAGTGGGAAAGTCATCCGAGGTACCATAGAGCAGCCAAAGAACTGATGATGCAAGAAAGGAAAAGTAAGACAAGCACGAAATTATGAAAAAGGAAAACAGAAAGCAAAATAAGCAGTAAGGACATTAAGCTAAAGGGGACTCTCGTAACTGCCCCAAGGGCCACACAGGGCCATGAACGGCACTCATGTCCCATATTGAAGGGAAGCTAACTTACCCGTTCTTCAGCTTCTGTCAGTACATTCATGGCTCTCATATTGACATTTCTTCCTAGCTTCTCCTTCATTTCCTGCAGTTTCTGAAGTCTCTGGCCAGCTTCTTTTGGGTTGTTAGTTTTGAAATCATAGGCACTATTGGGTTGGCCAAAGAGGTGTTTCTCGGCATTAATCCAGTCATAATCTTTCAACATGTTGGATACCTAACATACCAAAAAATTGGAGGATCCATGACTGGTTACAAAACTATAGGTATAAGCAAGTTTCTTAAACATTTGTCAAGTTAAACTCTAATATTTTGGGTAAAATTCAATTATTCATTTAAAAAAAAAAAAGGAAGTTCACTGTTAACAGCTATAAGGCTGAGTTTTTTTGTTTTTTTTTTACCTGGAGCACAGGCTTAAAAAATAATAGACGGTGTATGATCTTATATATATAAAATCCCAAATAATCCACCAAAAGCTTCTAAAACTAATAGAGAAATTTTGCAAAGTTGTAGGATAAAAAAATCAACCCACAAGAAACAACTGGGTTTCTATACACCTGCAATGAGAAATCTAAAAAGAAGATTAAGAAAACAACTGTGTTTATTATATAGCCATCTAAGAGAATAAATATCTAAGAATAAATTTACCCAGGGATAAGAAAGACTCACACAGTAAAAATTATATAACACTGTCGTGTTGTTGTTATATGCCGTCGAGTCGACCCCGACTCATAGCGACCCATCCTTGGGTTTCAGAGGCAGTATCACTACGGAAGTAGGATTGACCAACCTTCCCTTATATAACACTAAGAGTGACTAAAACCAAAACCAAACCCACTGCCATTAAGTCAATTCTGACTCACAGCAACCCCCAAAGGGTTTCCAAGACTGTGTATCTTTATGGAAGCAGACTGCCTCATCTTTCTCCTGCAGAATGGTTCGTGGGTTTGAAGTACCAACATTTTGGTTACCAGCGAAATGCCCTAATCACTACACCACCAGAACTCCTTAAGAGAGGCTAAAGAACATCTAAGTAGGGGAAAAGTTGATACAGTCAAGATGGCAGTAGGACCCAAAGAGATCTATACAGACAATGCCATCCTGATTAAAATTCCAACAACATTTTTTTACAGAAATGGAAAAACTAATGCTCAATATTACATGGAAAGACAAGAGACCTGAATAGCCAAAGCAATTATGAAGAACAAAGTAGGAAGCCTTATGCTTCCTGAATGCAAGACATACTACATAGCTATAATAATCAAAACAGCCTGGTACTGGATTAATGACAGACACATAGACCAACAGAACAGAATTGAAAATCCAGAAATAAATCCAATGTAGCCATCTGATTTTCGGTAAGGGAGCCAAATCCAGTCAATGGGGAAGGAGCACCCCCCCTCAACAACAAATTGTTTTGGCAAAAGTAGATTTCCACAAGCAAAAAAAAGAAAAAGAAAGAAACAAGATCCATACCTTACACCATACACAACATCTAATTCAAAATCAATCAAGGACTTAAATATAAAAGCATGAAGCCTTGGAGGAAAATAAAGGAACAAAGTTTTGAGACCTACTGTTTTCAATGATAGATCATAAGATACAACAACAAATGTACAAGCAACAGAAAACACAATAGATAAATGCCCTTTCTAAAAGTTAAATACTTAGGTTTATCAAAAGATTATCAAGAGTCAAGAAACAACTTACAGACTGGGAAAAAAATCTGAGAACAACATAACCATAAGGGTATAATACCTAAAATATATGGAAAACTTCTAGAACTTAAAAAAACCCAAATAACCCAATCAAGAATTGGGCAAAAGATACTTCATAAAAGAGGATATGCAAATGGCAGACAGACATGAAAAAAATCTCAAGATCACTAGTCATAAGAGAAATGCAAATCAAAATCACAATGATACACTCTTTCACTCCCACCAGAATGGCTAAAAAAAAAGACAATAGCAAGCATTGGAGGAGATGTGGAGAAACTGGAATCCTCATCTACTGCTAGTTTGTGGGAATGAAAAATGATACAGCTGTTGTAGAAAACAGTCTGGTGTTTCCTCAAACACCTAAGGCAGAGCTCCTCTATGACCAAGCCATTCCATGTACTGCCTGCTCTACCTTGAGTCCAGAAAAATGTGGAACAGAACTTCAAATTCTTAAAGAACTCAGACTTATGAGACCAACTGAGGCTGGAGGAGTCACCTAGACTATGGACCTAAGTTGTTTTCCAAGCCTTGAAATCAAAATTGACCTTGAAGTCACCTTTAAGTTTAGTCCAGAGGTGATAAAGATCGTCACCCATGAGTGAAAAAAAAGATTTCATACACACACACCCCGTCCAAAGGATCACAGTAACTATTTTAAAGCATATGTATGAGAAGGTTGAGGGCAATGAGATTAAGTAAATGGAAGTGAAATAATTCAAACAGAAATAACAACAATGTTGACATAATGTAAGAATGTAACCAATGTCACTGACCAGTATATTTACAAACCTTAGAATGAGAGGGATTTGCTGTGTATATTTTCACCAAAAGCACAACTAATTTTATAAAACAGACACTGTATAAAAAAAGATCTTCCTATTACTTAAGCATTAAATGAGAAGCCAACAGAGGGAATTTTACAAAATAAACACAAAATATATCTGACAGAATGAAATACACCCACTTCTCCTTTACTGACACAGTAGGTTCCAAAAATCAGGTAGTTATGTGAAAACCACTGTTAGGTGAAAATGGAGGATGACCACATCAGAGCACAAATCATGACATAACGGCTAAATCACTGAGAATCATGGCCCAGCCAAACTGACACATAACCCTAACCATCAAAAGCAGTGTTACTCTCTCCTTGCACCTCAGTGTTCATGACTGTCACATTTATGCTGTTAATGTGCAAAACAGACAGCAGCCTGTTTACTACTACTGTGAATGCAAAATATCAGATGAGATAGTCGATAAGGGAGGAAGAGTTGCACAAGTCAGATAAACCTCCTGCAGATTTTACCAAGTTCAATCTATTGTTTCAAAAAACTACTTGTAAAGTAATAAATTCTTACAGGAATGTTGCTCTTGTCAGGTGCCATCAAGTCAGCTCTGACTCACAGTGACCCCATGTACTACAGACCCAGACCCTGCCCAGCTGTCTGTCATCCTCACAATCACTGTGCTTGAGCCCATCATCGGAGCCACTGTATCAATCCATCTTGTTGATGGTCTTCCCCTTCTTTGCTGATGCTCTATTTTACCAAGCATGATACCCTTCTCCAGGGACCTTCTGGTAACGTGACCAAAGTAGGTGAGACTAAGTCTGGCCATTCTTACTTCCGAGGAGCATTCCAGCTATACTTCTGTTCATTCTTCTGGCAGTCCATGGTATGTTCAGTACTGTTTGTCAACACAACTCAAAAGCATCAACTTTTCTTCGGTCTTCTCTAATCAATGTCCAGCTTTCACATGCATACACGGCGACTGAAATGATCCTGGCTCGGGTCAGCAGCACCTTAGCCTTCAGAGTCTCATCTTTGCGCTTTACCACTTTAAACAGGTCCCACGCAGATTTGCCCAGTGCAATACGGCATCAGATTTCCTGACTGCTGCTTCCATGGGTGCTGACCGTGCATCCGAATAAAACAAAATCGTTGACAACTACAATTTTTTTCTCCGTTTATTGTAAAATCCCCAAGCAATCTCCAATACTTGCATTTTGAATTACTGATAAACTGTGAGCAGAGCTACTGACATAGCTAACATCTCAATGAGTCCAGCAACACTAATAAGGAACCAAAAGGAAATAAAGTGAGACATTATAACATAGTTATTAAAAAAACCTCTTTTTTTTTAAGACCAAGGAAGAAACTCCAACAGACATTCTTAGCTATTTCCGATGGGTGGGAGACTGCTTTCTGTTTTACTGATTCCTTTTCAAGTCATATCTCCTTTGTTTTTAGGATGCTAAACAAGATCCTGGGCATCAAAAATATACAGAACGAATGATGTGTGAATTAACACCCCATGGATACAGCTTCTCAACCAAGAAATAAACTTCTGCAAAAGCATGTGTTCTCTTTAAAAACTTAATGTACTGTGATATATGAAAGGAATACCTTTTAAGAGTGACCAAAAAGATAACGGGTTGCTAAAATATCAGATTGCAGATGAAGCTGGAAAAATGGATAGTAGTTACCCTCATAAGGGATATTGAGGAGCCAATTAAATCCTTTATTTTATTAGCTGATTGGGTATTTCTGTGAGTTCTTTAAATTCAATTTGGTGTAAGGTAAAGAGTGTATATTATTATTACTAATAGTAATCAATTCTATGAATGTATTAGTTCCATGAATATTTAGAGATTAGAAGAATAGTCATTTCCATGGGAAACCAATAAGTATTTGTTAAATCTATCTTGTTGATGGGCACAGACACCTGAAGCATAACCTAAAACATTTGTGCTGAAAAGCAGTTAAGATAGCTGGAAGCCATTTCCACCTCCAAACTCTGTGAGGCAGTAGTTCTACAACTGACACGAAGCCCGTCACTGAACAGCTCACAGGGATATTTCAGGAAGTGGGATACAAAAACGGGATCATTAGGGTAAACTGAGCAATACAAACGTGCCTTCGCAGCAGCATCCTCAGCCTCCCGCTTGTGTCTGCTGATGTTGTGGTCTAATTCCTTTATCTTAAGCTGCGAATCATTGTTTTGCTCTTTATGTTTCGCCACTTCTGCATATTTTGCTTTAATGACATTGTCCTGGGCTGTGATCACTTCTTTTTGCCTGGTCACCTCTTCTTGAGCTTTATTTACTGACTCCTGAAAGGAACAATTAGAGAAGGAAGTAAGGTAAAATAAAGACAGTCTATTAAAAGACAGCCTTGAAGATTTCTGCCAGAGATGGAAACAGGATTCCAGGTGTTAACTCTCTACACTTTACTTCCCCATTAAGATGATGAATGACTTTACAAACAGTGAGAAAACCTGTGTTACCACAAAGAAAAGGGATGAGTACAGTGTTCATGCTGGAGACAACAGAACTGTTGCTGGACAGGGTAGAGGAGCACGTGGGTGATGCGGGGCTCTCTTTTTCAGGTATATTCCTTCCTTGGGTGCACTGCCTCAGCCCTAGGGTGACAGCTGTTCCCTGCATCTGCTACTGCTATATTCTTTAGAATCCCCTATTATTTCAAACTCCTATTACAGTTAAAAATGTTATATTTTACGTCATCTGTTCTAATTACAGTATGGTTGGTCTCTAGAGCAGATTCAGACAGAAACAATTAGTAGGATGATTTCAGGACATTTTCTGTATCAGTAAGTTTCATTTTGCCTCAAGCTCTTATCATAAGAAGAGTACAGAGATAGAAAGCACTAAAGTTAAACATCTTCTTCATGACATTTCATAAACAGATTAGCATTTATAATTTCTCCAATTTGATAAGTAAATCTTACTTTATTTTTAGCCACTTCAGATGCCATTACTTCAATCTGATCTTCATAGGATTTGATAGCTTCATTTACAGCTTCAAGCTGTTGTTTATAGGATGCTTGCTCTCTCTTGAGCTCTTCTAGCTCCAGAGTAATAGCTTCAAATTCCTAGAAGAAACACATTACCAGTGCATTTGTAGATCATGAACTACTACAAAAAAGAACACATACATGGCCACAAAATTAATAAGGAACTCTGGTGGCACAGTAAGGCATCTGGCTGCTAACCAGTGTCAGTGGTTCAAACCCACCAGCTGCTGCATGGGAAAATGAAGCAATCTACTTCTGTAAACAGCCTTGGAAACCCAACTGGGGTCGCTATAAGTTGGAGTCAACTCGATGGCAGTGTCTGTGCTCCCTCCACACACACACACACACACACACACACACACACACACACACACGATTAACAGAATTCTCATGCAGGTAAGACCCATAGTCTAGTTACAACTCAGCCACCCAAAACACACATTTTTAGGGGTTCAAAATACTTTGCATAAGTTATTTCCTTTTATCTTTTATTCCTAAAGAGAATTAAAAACTCAGAATGCTACAGATGAATTAGAAGGGATAGTGTTCTTTTGAATTAGAGGTTAGGCTTTCTTTCCATAATTATTCAATGTGCAAAAAGTTGATTTCTCAATTTTCTTCTTTCCTATTAGTCCCTAGTCTGTTAGAAAATACTTTGTCCAGCTATTTAATGATAAAATAATAAGGTAAGAAGAGTAGATGCTGAGGCTGCTTATGTACAAACAAACATCACATGGGATTTGGTTCCTTGTTTTGGTGGTATGAAGTCATGGTTTCATGGGACATCTCAGTTAACTGACCTAATAATGTGTTCAGTGCTTCTGTTCTACCTCCTAGTTTGTTACATAGCGCCTGGGGTCTTAAAAGCTTGCAAGCCACCATTTAAAGCTAACAACTGTTCACCACTCACCTGAAACAACAGAGGATGGAGGGCCAGGAAGAGGAAATGGAATGTGTGCTAGTTAACTGCCTCCACAAACAACTGCCTCCTTTGTTGTGAGACCGCTGAAGGGTACCTGGCTACCATTACTGAACACTCTGATCAGAGTCCATAGAAGAATTGTAATCAAAAGGGGAAACCGCAGAACAAAATCTCAAATTCTGACGGAATCCAGATTTGCTGGACCCACAGAGGGCAGTTGAACCCCTGAAAACTATTGCCCTGAGATAATCTTTAAACCTTAACAAAAAATATCCTCTGAAGTCTTCTTAAAACCTAACAACAGTTTTGTTTAATTAGCAAAAAATGTCTGCCTTGAGCACTGCACTCTCTTACGATCTATTTACTTGGGATGAAAGGAGCTCTGGTGGCATAGTGGTTAAAACATTTAGCTGCTGACCAAAAGGTTCGCTACCTGAATCCACCAGTCACTCTACGGGAGAAAGATGAGGCAGTTCGCATCAGTAAAAATTTACAGCTTTGGAAACCCTATGGGGCAGTTCTACGCTGTCCTAAAGGGTCGTGAAGAGTCGGAATCAACTGGCTGGCTGTGAGTTTGGTTGGGTTATGTGATCAAATTGACAACAGCAACTTGAATGATTAGATAGGCAACTCAGGGGGTGATGAGTTTACATTAATGTGGGAAAAACTAAAGGAGGAAGAACAACTTAGAGGAGGGTGAGACTGACCACAAAAATTGAAGGATGTAATCAACGTCACTAAACTGCACACGCAGAAAAAGTTGAATTAAGTGTTCTGCTGTGTATATCCTCCACAAAAAACAAAACAGTAAATTATTAAAAAGGGATGAAAAGTAAGTTTAAGTGACATTGTATAAAACAGTGGTCAAGGACCTAATTTTTGGAAACAGAAAAGTCTGAATTTAAATTCCAGCTTTGGTGGTATTCAAAGATACAATAAGATAAAATCAATCTACAACTGAACACAAAGACCAGACACAATGCTGTCGAGCTGACTCTGATGCACAGCAACCACCACTGGGTTTCCAGGGCAGTAAATCTTTAGGAAGGAGACTGCCTCATCTTCCTCCTGTGGAGCAGCTGGTGGTTTTGAACTGCAGACCTTCCGGTTAGCAGCCACTATGCCACCAGAGCGCCTTACAATTGAAAAGTCCTTTGTAAATACAGTACGTTGTTAGATGCTGTCCAGTCAGTTCTGACACACAGTGATGCTCCATACAACAGAAGGAAGCACCAGCCGGGCCAGTGCCACTCCCCAGTGGTTGCTATGTTTGAGCCAGCTGTTGCAGCCACTGTGTCAACCCACCACGTTGAGGGTCGTCTTCTTTTTACACTGACCATCTGCTTTACCAAGTATGATGTCCTTCTTCAGGGACTGGTGCCCCTGACAAACTGTCCAAAGTACATGACACAAAGTCTTGCCATCCTTGCTTTAAAGGAGCATTCTGGATGTACTTCATCCATGACAGATGTGCTTATCTTTCTGGCAGTCCACGGTATGTTCAATATTCTTTGCCAACAATATAATTCAATTGCATCAATTCTTCTTCGGTCTTCCTTATTCACTGTCCAGCTTTTGCACACATATACTTAATTAACCTAATGGCACAGAGTCAATTCTGAGTCACATCAGCCCTTCATGACAGAATAGAACTTTCCTGTAGGTTTCCAAGGCTATGATCTTTACAGAAACAGACTGCCTTATCTATCACCTGTGCAGCAGCTGGTGCAGTCAAACTGCCGACCTTTGGGTTAACAGCAAAGCCTTTAACCACTATGCCGCCAGAGCTCTGTGTGCACGTGTAAGGCAATTGGGAATATGTTTTTGATCATCCTTACAGTAAAAAATCACAGATGCTTACTTCATATAAACATCAACTCCCTGAATCTCTGATATGACACAGCTATACTTCATGCCATTAAGCTTTGGTTCACTCCTAAAGGAGGGATTTATAAAAAGCTAACTTTGAACTTTCCCTAAAATTAAAGTCAATGCAACCCACAAGCACAATTACATGACATCACGTTATAGTTTTTGCACGACTGTATTTGACTTTTAAGATGCTTAATGTATTTCCCAAAAAGCACACCTAGCCTTTGGATTTAGTAATGAATGCTAACAAGATTGGCCGGCGATGTTCCACCACATTCAGTTCTACACTGACTTTAAAAGACTGTCTTCATTTCAAGACTGGTTTTTACCTGTTGCTTTTCTTTCATTTTCCTGTTAGACGCATCCGCCTTTGTTTTGGCCCCATCCAGTTTTTTCTGAGCATCCTTCAGTTCTCTCTCTCTCTCAGCTTCTGCATTTTTCATTTTATTCTCCAGTACTTCGTATTTTTCCTCTGCTTTTTTTTGAATTTCTTTGGTGTTTTTTAATGTCTCCTCACTTTCCTCTGCATCATAAAACAGGTAAATGTGGTTAAATTAGGTGTAACTATTAACAGTTATAGATAGGAGCTTATAAATTCAACTTTTTATAGAAAAAAATGGTCTGAAAAATTAGAGGCTAGGCTTTAAAAAATTTTTAACTGTTTCAAACTTATTCTAGAAATGGTAGACTGAAACACACATAAGACTCAACACCAGACTTGAATTATCTAAAAGGATTTGCAAGGAAATGACTGCTAATTGTATGAACTTGATTAATTCAAACAGTATCTATAACTTACCTACTTTCAAAAGGTTCTGAACAACTTATCAAAACACCACAGCTCTTTATTAAGCAAACCTTGTGTGCTCCCTAAAACTAGAACTGAGAATATAACCACAGTATTTTCCCTTTATTTTGGGTGCCAGGAAGCTTACAATTGACTTCACAAACAAGCTTACTTTGCATTCTTTCCTCATTTATACATACTCAAGAAGCTTGCTATTAAAGGAGAGAAATATTGGGAGAACATGTCTTGGATGACAAGAAAAATCTATCCCCAAATTTGTAGAAGAAAAAATTTGAAGAACAAGATAGAATGGGCATGTGAGCAACCCGAGTGACACACAATGTTGTTAGTGTTATTACTTAGGAAGCCATGTCTGCACAATTTCCTACACTGCTTTTCACTGCAAAATAACCACTGTTAGAGGGGAAATGAGCATTTGGATTGTCCAAACACTCACTGTCCAAAGGAAGAGCAATAAAAAAATTACCACATATAATTAAATTCTCATTAAAAAGTATGATAGTGTCATAACATTAGGGATGGATAGCTATACATTTAAAAAATTAAATATTAAAAATGCTTGTATGACAAAAATAGTAACATTAAAAGACAATCACACAAGGTACAAAAAAAAAACACTGCAATGAATATAAACTACAAGGGATTAAAACTCTTAAATATAACAAAATAGGAAAAAAAAAACAAGCAATCCAACAGAAAAATGGGCAAAATTAATGAATAGGAAATGTAAGAAGTGGAAACACAAAGGGCCAAATAACATACAAAACAGATTCTACACTTCACCAGCAAACAGGAAAATACAAAGTAAAACGCTAATGCAGTATCTCATTTCATAACCATGAGCCTGGAGAAAGAGACTCCTACATGTGCCTTAAAGATAGCACAGCATCTTCTAAATACCTAAAGTAAGATAAACAGTATCAGTAGAACAGAGATTAGTCACAGAATGTTCAATCTTACCAATGATTTTCTTAAGGGCATCTAATTCTTCTTGCTGCTTATGATAGGAGCTTTGCTGGACCTTGGTTTGTAATAAATCTGCCTCCTCAGTTTTCATCTCCCATTGCTGTTTCAGTTGGCGATACCTTAGAAAAACAGACGTTTGTAATAAACGATCACAATTTTTCTGATGTTTTGAGAAATGTATTCAAACTACAGGCTCTTAACTAAAATAACTAACTTTATAATATAAAACGTAAGATACCAATGGTTATAAAAATACTGTTATGATGACATACCAAGTTTCTGAGGTATCAAATTCAAGTTTGATTTGGTCACCAAAGTTAAACAACTCTAAATGACCAAGATCCATAATAAATATTTATGTTGTTGTATTGTTCTATTTGAATGACAGCCTCCTGATCTATGTACAAGTTCCTCATGAGCACCATTAAATGTTCTGGAATTCCCATTCTTCACAATTCTACCCATAATTTGTTATGATCCACACAGTCAAATGCTTTTGCATAGTCAATAAAACACAGTAGACGTCTTTCTGGTATTCTCTGCCTTCAGCCAAGATCCATCTAACATCAGTAATGATACCCCTCGTTCCATGTCCTCTTCTGAACCCATCCTGCTTCTGGAAGTTCCCTGTCAATATACTGCTACAACTGTTTTTGAATTATTTTCACCAAGATTTTACTTGCAAGAGATATCAATGATATTGTTTGACAATTTCCACATGCTGTTGGATCACCTTTCTTTGGGATGGGCACAGATAATGATCTCTTCCATTCATTTGGCCAGGTAGCTGTCTTTCAAATGTCCTGGCATAATGGGTAAGCACCTCCAGTGGGGCATGTATTTGTTGAAACATCTCAGTGGGTGTTCTGTCAAATCCTAAAGGCTTGTTCTTCACCAATTCCTTCAGTGCAGCATGGACTTCTTCCAACAATACCAATGGTTCTTGATCATATGTTACCTCCTGAAATAGCTGGACACTGACCAATTCTTTTTGATACAGTGACTCTGTATTCTTTCCATCATCTTTTGATGGTTCCTAAATCATTCAATATTTTGCACGTAGAATCCTCCATTGTTGACAGAAATTCAATATTGATATAAATAAATTTTATCTAAATTTATATATTTTTTACATTAATATAAATATTTGTAGAAAGTGTTAATTTTAGAAAACACTAAAAGTAATCTTTCAATAAACAGGTTTTCTTAAATACAATTTCAATAAATAAAATTTTAAATGATGCATTTTACAAGTTTGTAACACATTTATACTTCAGAAGCTTTTAAAGCAAGTGAGGTTTCTTTTCTCAGATAACCAGATACCCAGTTTGCTAGCATGTTTCAGGTGTTCACTCAACAGTCAACCTCAGGGAGGATTTCCCTGGCCACCAATCTAAACTGTTAGTACCTCTCTACCCTGGATAGTTCATACCCCTTCCCTGTTTTATTTGTTTCATCTTAGTACTATCTAACAAAAGATAGGCTTTTCCAATTTGTCTTTATTGTCTATTTCCCCAACTATATGAAAATCTGATGGTGGCAAAGATATTTATTTACTCAACTCCCTGCTGCATCCACAGCCTCAGAAGAGCACTTGGCACACGTGAGGCTGTTTATTGAGTGAACAATGTGGGGGAAGGTGGGTCAGGAAAGGCTGCATTAAATAGCATGATCCCAACTTCAAGGAAACAAAAATCTGCATCCAAAACAAAAAGAAAACACTCAGTGTCGTTGAGTTGATTTACCTCATAGCGATCCCTCCTTGGGTTTCTGAGGCAATATCACTATGGAAGTAGACTACCCGAACCTCCTTCTGAGGAGTGGCTGGTGGATGTGAATCACCAGCATTCTGGTTAGCAGTCAAATGTCTTAGGCACTATGTCACCAGAGCTCCCCAAAAGTCTGTATATAATATACATAGGCTATATGCAGATTTTTGTTTTCTCAAAGTTGGTATTGTGCTGTTTAATGTAACCTGTCCTCCCCCCTGCTCCCCCCACATTATTCACTCAATAAAGACTGAGTGCCTCATATGTGCCAAGTGCAGAAAACATGCTGCAAGAAGGTTCATGGATGCCTATATTTTAAAAGTAACTTTCTAAAATGAGTTTATTTACTTCTTCCTCAGGCAAGCTGGGGATCCTCAATAGCTAAAGCACAGTTACAATGCTATTAAACTTAGTCCACAGGCCTGATCAATATGCTATATTGTATCTTACTATTCCAAACCAAGAACGCAAATGTTAATGTTAAGGCTGTGTGTCAATGTGGCTGGGCAGCTGGATACAACTATTCCCCAAGATGACGCTGAATGTCACCACCTCCACGGTGGGATCCGCTGCGAATAGCTAAGCAGCCGCCTTCGGGGT